TATATATATATATATATATATATATATATATATATATATATACACATACATACACAAGTAGTCCTCAACTTACAATCATTTGTTTAGAGACCATTTGAATCACCACAGCACTGAAAAAAAATGACTTACAATCAGTTCTGGCACTTATGACGATCGTAACATCCCCACAGATCCTCCACATGATCAAAATTTGGTTGCTTGACAACCAACATGTAGTTACGAAAGCTGCAGCATCCTTGGGATCTGTGATTGTCATTTGTAACCTTCCCAGCTACTTCCAATAAACACCCAGTGGGGGGAGTTGGATTTGCTTAATGACTGCACAATTCACTTCACAATTGGAGTGATTTGCTTATTTCACAACTATGTGAAAAAAGGTCATAAAATTGGATATGATTTATTTAAAAATCATTTAAAAATTTAGCAATAGAAATTCTGACCCTTATTATAGTCATAGATCCAGGACTACATACATACATACACACACAGATGTATGCGTGTGTGTGTCTGTGTGCGCGTGTACACACACACATTTCTTATTACATTATTTGGGGCATTTTTAGTAACAAATGAATAAACTATCCTAAATAATCACACTCCTAATATGTTTCTTATATAGGCAGAATTCTGTATGAACGCGCCAGGAACAAAATAACATGCAGGTGCATAAATTAATCATAAATCAAACAGTTATGTTGGTACAGTGTATTTGCTCAGGAAAATCTTCATTTAATACATATATATTTAAAATGTCATTTAATATAGCCAGCTTGCAAAGATATGCTACACATTGTGCTAGTTATTTGTACAAAAGTACATAGCAAGCTATGCATAATTTTAAAAGGGTTTAAAAAAACCTTTTCTTTACCAAGAATTATAATCTCATAATGTAATATAGTACAGTCTGATAATAAACTGCTCTCAACATTAAAAATAAATGATATAATATGAAAGTTAATTCTTTCCTCCCCTTCCTTTTGTTAACAAGTTTCAGGTACCGAATGCTGATTATCAGTGCAACAAATTTTCATAATCAATACGCACAAGGTATGTAATATTGCAGTGAAAGGATTAGAGCATATACCAGTGATGGTGAACCTTTTTTGGCTCGCGTGCCAAAAGCAGGGGGAGTGCCATACCCATAATGTAATGCGCATGACCCCAGCACACATGCACGCATGACCAGCGCTCCCACCATTTTTGGCATGCTTTTTTCACCCTCTCCAGGCTCCAGAGGCTTTATAGGAGTCTGGGAAGGGCGAAAACAGCTTCCTCCCCCACTCCTGAAGGCCTTCCAGAGGCTTCAGGAACTTCCCTGAAGCCTCTGGAGTGCAAAAAAATGGTCCTAAGAGCAAACCGGTTTGCTCATAGGGTTGGTTTTAGCCCTCCGGCTCCTGAACTTCCGGTTTGCCCATAGCGCCATTTTTTGTGCTCCAGAGGCTTCAGGGGAGCTCCTGAAGCTTCTGGAGGGCCTCCAGGGTGGCAGGGGTGGCTGTTTTTGCCCTCTCCACGCTCCTATAAAGCCTCTGGAGCCTGGGGGAGGGCGAAAAATGGCCTCAAAAGAAGGCCAAAGTCAGCTGGCCAGCGCATGCATGCGCGCTGGCCAGCTGACAGGACAACGCCTCGCATGCCCTGACAAATGGCTCCGCATGCCGCATGTGGCACACGTGCCATAGATTCGACATCCTGGGCATATACAGAGAGTGCCTAACTTGACCTTTGATTTCCTGATAAGCTGAGCTCCATTGTAGCCTAGTGTGCCAACTGCAGAGAAAAAGCCTCTAGAAGAATTGGCAAGCTTAGCCTAGCAAAGTAACTTATTGAAGTGCAAAATATGGATTCTATTTGTTTGCTGTAACTTAGAATGTGTATTCTCAGCAACCTAATGAGAGATAATAATGCTAACCTCTATCAAAGCTCTGAGTTATATGTCAGAAAATATTTCTTTCCCCTTCTAAGGTCCATTGTTCTCAGAAGCGCTGAGAAAATCATGAGGTTTGCGTAATCTGAAATGTTTCTAACACTATGACGGTCAGCGCAAGCTATGTAAGACTATAAGAAGTTTGACAAAAAGGGTTTTTGTTGCACACACCTGTTTTTCTCTCTGCCTGCTTTAAAGGTGGGAGACTAAAAAGGGTCAGCCAGTTTTGCTTTCTAGCTAGAAAAGCTGATTATCAATAGCCTTGTGTTCAGAGTTTCCTTGGATTTATCAGATTCTGAGTTGCATTCAAAAATCTTACAGCAGCATTAAATTCACATGGAATAAAAAGGAATGAAGGAGTTTAGACATATACTATAGTTCACATACATACAACTGAATTGGATGAGCCTTTTCTTTTCACAATAAGACCAACTGTACATGGCAAATGAATTGAATGTACCATGGACAAAACAGGTAAGATAAATTCTATTCAAGTAAACTTTAGAAATCAGTTTGCTTCTCTTTGTCTAATGAATCATGGAAGAATGCCAACTCTCACTGATAAAAGAAATCAGATTTTTGGTGTGCTCCTATCAGATGGTGGATCTAGTCAAACAGAAAGCTGTACGACTTTGGCTTTCTTTAAGGAAAGAAGAAAAATGAGACTTAATACCATAATCAGGCTGAGGCTGAACTGTCTTGATCCTCAGGTATTCCCGGAAGAGAGTGACAGATGGATCTTCTTGGGGATCCCTCTCCCCAAACTTTTTAGAGTCTGGTAACATGTTAGCCTTCTGGACTCCAGAGAGCAGAGTACTATATCAAACACAGTAAGAGAGGAACATACAGAAAGTGAGGATAAAGAACACAAGAAACCCACTTTTTCAACTGGGACTGGGGGAGAAGGAAGTTATCCTGGAAATAAGGAAGGAAATTGTGGTAGGGTTATGTTTGGCCCTTGGAATTCCTGCACTGTACAGTATAAAGGTACCGTCCTGTACCTTCAAGTACAAAAAAACAACAGAGTATTAAAAATACCCGGAAGAGTTACAGAGGATAGAATGAAACTGCCACTCTCCCCCAGATACTTTATACACTCCGTCTTTATCTGCTGCAGTCAAGGCAGAATTTCCACAGCTACAACCATGCTCTGCAGAACTGTGAGAGTTACACCCCATTCACGGAGTGCTCCTCAGCTGCAGGGGTGAAAGTCCGGCAGAGTACAATACAAGCGCGCAAGGCAAGCTAGAAACTGCCCGGCTCTGGCCCTCAGCGCCAGCATAACACCTCACCCACCCCACCCCAAGCCGCTTTCATTGGATTTTTCCCTCCCAGATACCGCAGTCCAGCGCTCGCCTGCCTCCCTTGTAAGCTCCTGGCCCAGCGGTAGACAAGTAAACAAGTTCTTGGGCAGGCACCTCGGAGGCAATGATGGGCTGGCCTTGCCCCTCGTTCCCCCAGTGGAAAGGAGCCGGCGGCCGGGCGAAAGGGACAGGGAAGCTTTCCCGGGTAGCAAAGGATCCCTCAGAAGTGGCCCTCTCCCTCCTCGCCCACCTCTTTTGCTCGTTGCGGAAGCCACCGCCTCCCTCAAGCCTCGGCTCGCCGCGACTTGACTCCACACAGTCCTCGGGGGCGGCGGTAGCGGTAGCGCTGGGGAGGGCTGAGCGCAGAGCAGACCAATCTCCAAGGCGCGCGCCGGCCCGCCCGCTCGCTCGCGCCCAACCCGGCGCCCGCCCTGCCTTGCAGCCCTTGCCTTGCTCCGGCCCAAGCCGGCGGGGACAAACCCGAGCTGCGGGATTTTGCTTGGAAAACCACCCGACGCGCCTAGGTTCGGCACGGCGTGCCTGGACTTGGTATTTGCCTTCTTCCAAGCAAGGAAGCCGAAAGCAGAGAAAGTAGCTGTGTGGGGCAGACAGGGACTTCGCGAAGCACTGTCAGGACTTTGGCAGAGGGAATGGGTGGCCTCAAATCTTATCCATAACGGGTAGTCCTCAATTTACGACCGCAGCAGAGGCCAAAATTTATGTTGTTGAGTGAGAGATTTGTGGCGTTTTGCCTCATTTTATCACTTTTCTTGCCACATTTGTTAAGTGAATCACTGCAGTTGTTAAATTAGTAATGCAGTTGTTAAGTGAATCTGTTTTCCATCTTGACTAGTCAAAAGGTAACACAAGGCGATCACGTGACCCTGGGACACTGACTGTCATAAACGTGAGTCAGTTGTCAAGCATCTGAGTGTAAATAGCGTGACCATGGAGATGCTGCCACAGTATAAAACATGGTCCTAACTTACTTTTTTCAGTGCTTTTGTAACTTCAAATGGTCACTAAGGGAACTGTTGTAAGTCGAGGACTACCTGTATTTTGGGTTACTCGGGACAATGGGTGATGGCCCTTCAGGAGAAATATAGTTTGGCTGCCCTCCATTGCAGGCCCAGTCTTAAACTACCATGTAATCAAGAGTTATCATGATATAAAAAAGATGTTGAGTGCAGAGAAGAGCAACAAAGATGATTAGGGGACTGGAGGCTAAAACATCTGAAGAACAGTTGCAGGAATTGGGTGTGTTTACTTTAATGAAGGATAAGGGGTCCATGATAGCAGTGTTCCAATATCTAAGGGGCTACCACAAAGAAGAGAGGGTCAATCTATTCTCCCAAGCACCTGGAGGCAGAACAAGAACTAATGGATGAAAGATAATCAAAGAGGGAAGCAACCTAGATCTAAGGAAAAAATTCCTGATAGTTAGAGCAAATAATCAGTGGAACGACTTGCCCCAAGAAGTTAAAAACTTCCAACACTAGGTGTTTTTAAGAAGAGATTGGACAAGCATTTTTCTGAAATGGTATAGGGTTTCCTGAGCAGAGGGTTGGACTAGAAGACCTCCAATATGCCTTCCAACTCTGTTATTTTGTTATTCAGAATTGGGATCCTTATAAACATTTCCTCCCCAGCCAGAAACCACCTGTTTTCATTTTCAGCAGCACAAACCAAGCGTATTTTAATCTACCATACTGTTTAAAAGCAGAGAAGATGAGTAATACACAGTAAAATCATCAAAGATGTACAAGCACAGCCAATTTTGTGGTTAGCCATTTGTGTTGGGTGGTGAAACCAACAGTTCAGATTTTGGGCCAGATGTACGTTAGCACTTAGGTAACTTCTAGTGAATTAAAAATCATTTTTCTATACAGCCTGGTGATAAAAGTACTGCATAAATTTAATATTTAAATTTATATAATTTATATAAATTTATATAGTTTGTGAGCACCATAAAACATATAATAGAATCAAGATCTGAGGATGAGGAACTTGTGGCAGAACATTGGGAAATCATCCATTATACTTTATATTTCAATAAAACTAGGCTACTAAAATTCAGCATGTGGAGAAAGAAATATATTATTTTTTCATCTCTTGCAAAGCATTAGCAATCAAGAGACAAGGCTCCATTACTGAAACAGTTCCAAGATTCTAGATCTCCCCTCCTGCTTGGAAAATCTGTTTTATTTTATTTTTTAAAGAAAGTGAGTTATTTTATATTCAATTATTGTGTTGCCAATTTAACAAAGGGAAGAAAGTACCAAAGTTTCCGCTTTTGAATGCATGTCTTGGCAGACATGCATAACCCCCCTCCCCATCCAGTACTTCAGTTTGTAACCCAATTCCAAGTAAACAATTAAGTCTATTTTTCATGTTTGCATAGAACAGGTTCCAGAAGTAATGCAGTTATATACAGAAATCATTCTGACATTTTTATACTGTTCAGTGAGTTTTGAATGCACCTTGCATAAAAGTTGCATACTTTTAGTCTTCCTGTGGCATGAAGTGACATGGCACCAGGCTTTTGCTGGAACATTTGCTGCCAATGTTCCCTTTCAGCTTCCCAAACTCTTTGGTATTATTTATTGCCTTTGCTGCTCAAGACCTTACAGGCCAATGTCTTCATTCAGTTGCAGTTTTGGCTGCAGCATAGGGTCTGAATTTTAAGCATCTTCCAGCACTGGCTGAGAGCCAATCTGAATATTGTTCCTAAAACAGCCACATAAAGTTCCAGATTGAACAGGCCTCTAAGATTCCAGTTATACAGTAGTAAAGACTAGATCTAAATTTTGCTTCATCACTATTCAGCAAAGACAGTATTTTCATTACATAGAATAGGGCTTGGCACTTTGAAAAGTATTTGGTTGAAGTGCTTCTGATCTCATAAGCATAATACCTCTTGCTATTCATGAATGTAAACATGGTTAATCAGACTTATGCATGAACTAAAGATCAGATTAAAAACATGCTTCTTTAATTATTTGATTCATTCCAGAAACAGCATCTCTTTTTGTTTTTGTTTTGCATATACAGAATACCAGAAAGGTATTTCTGTATCAACCCACGTGAGGTCTTTTTTGCAGATTGTTTTCAAAATATGAGGACCCTAATTAATATGACTGACTCCACAATAGGAAAAGATTCTTGTTGTAATTTGAACCTATATATCTGGGGTTTCTTTGTGCATGTGCGTCTTTTGAGTTTGTTGTGTTATATTGAGTTCTGGTGACTAAATCCTGCAAGTTCTCTTGGCAAGATTCAGAAGTGGTTTGCCATTAATTGCTTCCTAGTGCTGAAAGGAGGTGAAAATACAAGGTTACCCAGTTGTCTTTGCGCCTAAGGGGGAATTAGAATTCAGATCTAGCCTGAGGCAAGATGAGACTAAGCCAAACTCATGCTTTTACAGAGAAGATCTAATTAACTTTTGTTCATTTTGCTAAACAAATGCCTTTTTTAAAATAGTATCAAATTCCAGCTGTTTCTAATTAAGCTTTTTAAACAATTTACCATTATTTTAAATTGTAATTTCATATTGTTTTAAGAAAAAGTTGCTGAACTGCTTAAGGTGACTGATACAACTAGTGTCATTTATGAACAAAAAAATATAAAGATACAAAATATTTTATTCACAACTTTGAACTCTAAAGCCAAGTAAGCAATTCATATTTGTTCCCAGGCGTATCACCATTAAAATTCAAAGTCAGGCAAGAACAAGAATTTGTACAAATACGGGGCCTAGAAGGTTCCTCTCCAAGCATCCCTAGAAAAAATCTAGTATTGCAGTATTGCAGTACTCACATAGCAGCAATAGCTTAAATGCAACAAAAAACAGTATCATTGAAAATATACAGAACATACTAATGATACTTTAGGTATAAATTCACTTGATCATTTTATTAATGAGCTTATCGATCAGAAAGGTCAGCAGTTCGAATCCCTAGCACCACATGACGGAGTGAGCTCCTGTTACTTGTCCCAGCTTCTGCCAAACTAGGAGTTCGAAAGCACGTAAAAAATGCAAGTAGAAAAATAGGGACCACCTTTGGTGGGAAGGTAACAGCGTTCCATGCGCCTTCGGCATTTAATCATGCTGGCGCCATGACCATGGAGACATCTTTGGACAGTGCTGGTTCTTTGGCTTTGAAACGGAGATGAGCACCGCCCTCTAGAGTCAGGAATGACTAGCACATATGTGCAAAGGAACCTTTACCTTTAAAGTTTCCAGTTACTTTATTACATGCATTCTTATAATTACCTCTATTCATGTTCTGGGATATCCTGAGTGTTTATCAGTACACTGCATCTACCTCCAGGTTAGTGGGCCATAGTACATCATTTTACCAGATAGCCGCTGGGGTTGGAGTCAGAGTTAGCACCACTGGCAAAAATCTTACTCAGTTTTTACCTGTTGAACTCCTAAAGGGAGCATTTGAAGGGAAAAAAATCAAAAATTTTAATGAATGCAGTTGGAGAAGACAGGAAAAGAATTTAGGTGCCAAGAGAATATAGAAGAAATAATTGAGCTACATGGAGACCTATGAATGAATGAAAATAGTGACAGGTGTCTGCTTAGATCAGGGGTCCCCAAACATGGCTTTAAGACTTGTGGACTTGAACTCCCAGAATTCTCCAGCCAGCTATATGAAGTGTGAAGATGAAAAGGCAATGTATGAAGTGGTAGAAGTAGGAATGGTTTGCAAACAGAGAATGGTCCAAAGTGGTACAGTAAATGGTCTTGCTGTATAGTGATGATATAACTAGAATTCATTCTAACTATTCTAACTAGAATTAGTTATATTTCCTGATTTCTAATCACATACTGTACCTTTGGAAAAAAATATTTTGACTTAACATTTATTTCCTTTCTGCACTTTTAATTACCTTACTTATCCTGAAAGTGAAAGGAATGACAGGTATATATGTCAAATTCCCAGGGGCTTGTAAAAAGGAAATATTAAAATAGAGACGAAGCTTTTATCTAAGTTTCTAAAGAAAGGATATTTCAAGGTACTCAGAAATAAGGTTTAAATAAGATAGATGGGTCTCACTCATTGTATCACATGAGATACAACTTCTTAGCTATCAGATTTCACAAGAAGAATAGAGAGTGATGCTTTCCAGCTCTCAAATCATTATGACAATTAAGCTTCATATTAAATTGATATTTCGGATCCAATTTATTTTGATTTTGCAACAAATTGTACTTAATATGCAGCAT